GCCACTGAGTGACCGCGTGCAGGAGACCGGAGAGGGGAGGCGGGGCACTTTGCGAGCGCGGAGACGGCGGAGAGGTCGGTGAGCGTGAGGGTGGGGTTCGCCGGCGACTCGGAAAAGATGAGCCTGAAAACGGGCTCCCGAGCCAATCGTGTGCAGCGTGTGTGTGCGTGTGGGCCCGTCCTCCATGCTGGGAGGTGTGTCAGACTGCCTGACTGGCTGCGCCTGAAAGGGTGGGTCCGCCAACCTCGGGGTGGGAGGACGGCCTTGCGCGGCACATTCAGAGCACCTCCCGAGCACGCGGGCTACGAATACAGCGAGGACAGCCAACTGCGGCCGACTACCGCGGAGTGCGTCCTCTCGAGCGCAGGTGGGACGAGCGCGGCAGTCTTCCGCTTCTAGGATGGCCGGGCTTTGTGTTTGGCTTGAGGTGGGCCTCAATGTTTGCCTGGGGGCGCGGGCAGGGAGAGAGGGTGAGGGACGCGGCGGCGAACCAAAGGGGCTTCGGGACGCAGCGACGCGGTGAGGGGCGCGGTGAGTCAGAGGCGGTGAGTGCCGACGGTTGTGACCGTGGGCACTCGTCGTGGCCGGGGGTGTCCAGGCGGGCAGGGCGAGAGCAGAGGTGATCGCGCTGGTGTGGACGGATTGAGGTTGCGTGTTGGCACTGTCGGAGGCAAGAGCGGCGAGGGCCCTGGGGGCGTGGTGCACCAGCGAGCGCCCCGTTCCCTGCCCTGCCCCCTCTCGCCCTTGCTCTCGCCCCCTCCATGCCCTCACCCCCGTACCCCTCCCTCCACCCTCTTCCCCAACCCCAACCCACTGGCGTCCGAAGCACTTCGATCGAGCCTGCTGTGGGAACAGCTGACGCTGGGGGGCGAGGCGGACTCGGCGCAAAGCCTTGCGCACTTGTCCGCAGGGCAACACAGCGAAGAAGGGAGATGTGGGGAGATGTGGGGAGATGTGGGGAGATGTGGGGAGATGTGGGGAGATGTGGGGAGGTGTGGGGAGATGTGGGGAGGCGTGGGGAGATGTGGGGAGATGTGGGGAGATGTGGGGAGATGTGGGGAGGCGTGGGGAGATGTGGGGAGGCGTGGGGAGATGTGGGGAGGCGTGGGGAGATGTGGGGAGATGTGGGGAGATGTGGGGAGATGCGGGGAGATGTGGGGAGATGTGGGGAGATGTGGGGAGGTGTGGGGAGGTGTGGGGAGGTGTGGGGAGATGTGGGGAGATGTGGGGAGATGTGGGGAGGTGTGGGGAGATGTGGGGAGATGTGGGGAGGTGTGGGGAGGCGTTGGGGGTTCTCACAGCGTGAACATTCACGGACCGGCTGACTGTGTACAGCGGAAGAGGCGCGGAGTCTGGGACGAGCGCCAGTGGGTGGTCTCCTCCTCTTGGAGGTGGACGAGCGGGCTGCGCCGTGGGGCAGCGAGTCGCGCCGTCGCGGTCATCGGGGTGGCGCGGCCGGCGAGAGAGGGCGCGGCCGGCGAGAGAGGGCGACGTGTGCTTAGCGGTGGCGGGGTCTGCAGAGAGCGCGCACCAGCTCGGTGAAGTCGATAAAGTCGAACTCCATGCCCATGTCGGTGAAGAGGGTCCGGCACGCGCGGTTGGTGCCGCCGTACGAGCAGTTCGTGATGACGCAGTGGTCGCCCGCCTGCAGACAGACGCGAGAAGCTGCCAGCCCGCTCGGTCTCTAGGTCTCCCCTCTCAATGAGCACCTCTATGCACGCTCGAGGTGGCCTTATCTTATGGAGGGGAGAACTAGAAGCATCATCTAGGAGGGAGCCCCCCCCCCCCCCCGCCCGAACCGCCGATACCCCCTCTCGCGCCTGCATCGTTGAGGTGATCACCGCGATGGTCGCAGCCCTGCCGGTGCTGAAGCAAGCGGCACCTACAGGCGCGGAAGCGTCCGCAGAAGCGGGCGTGAGGGCGGGCGTTAGAAAGCCGCGGCCGCCAGATTGTGCGGCGGCCGTTAAGGTGGCAATGAAGACTGGCGGCGAGGGTGGCGACCGGCTAACCGCGGTGGTGGCGGCGGCGGTAACGAGGCACCGTAGCCGCCCTCGAGCTCTGCGATCTTGTTTTCGAGGACGGTGACCGTGGGGTTGTTTGTGCGCGAGTACGAGTAGCCCTTGGCGAGATACTCGTCGACCGACTCCTGCACGTACGTCGTCGACTGCAGGGAGGGGTGTTGCCGGGGCGGGCGTCAGGCGTGAGGGCCACAGCGCAGCAGCCTCGGTCTTCGCTGGCTGCTGTGAGCAGCCGCGCCTGGTAGACCGGCGTGAGGATGGCGCCGGTAATGGGGTCAGGGTCGACGCCGGCGTGCACGAGCTTACTGCCAGGCAAACAGGCGAGGGGTCAAGCTGGCTCCCGCTCCGGCGGCGGTTGGCGGGGCGGGACGCGCACGTTTCGGTGTGCAGGTCGTCCTTATTCCGCACCCACTGGCCAGACTTGAGCGCCAGCGTGCGGTACGTGCCGCTGCTGGGAGCTATCCTCGCCGCGGAGCGCGACACAGAGCGGAGCATAAGGCTTCGCTCACCTCGCGTTCTTGATTCTCGTCTGTCTTCACACGGAGTGACAGATAGACGAGAAGTGGCCCCAGGCTGGGAAGAGGACCGCCGCAAGCGGCGTGGCGTGGGGCGGTTGAGCATCCCTCCGGGGGCCCCTCTGCGCCGGGGAGGGGGCATGGGCGGTGCGGCCCGCGCCGCGCGCGGGCGCGTGGCAGCCCGTGAGTGCCGACGGTCTCGGGCACCGCACCCGTGCTGCCACAAAGCACAATGTGCTGCCACAAAGCACCACTAGCGATTTCGCGCGGAGGGCGTAGTGAAGTGCTGGGGCGCTCACTGTGTGTTATTCGGGTGGGGATCCATCAGTGGTACCGGTAAGCGGCTTTAGTCACAGATCCAAGCTCAGACGTCACACCAACACCACAAACACGCTCACTTCGCCGCTGCTGTAGATGGGCCTCCGGGGGCCCATGCTACGTCGAAGCACAGACCCGATCTCGGCACTCACGGGCTGCCACGCGCCCGCGCGCGGCGCGGGCCGCACCGCCCATGCCCCCGGGTCACCGACCCCGCCTCTCGGCCCTCTCGGCCCTCAGGAGCGTGCGGGAGACCGGCGAGGGGCGCGCCGCGCGCCGCCTGCAGCCTGCAGCGCCGCCAGAGGCATTGTCGCCTCCGCTGGCGGGGTTCCCGCGCGCCCACCCGCGCCCGCGCCCGCCCACGCCGCGCCCGCGGGCTCCGGATGCGCCGCCCTCCGTCTCCTTCTTCTCGATGGCAGTCCGCACGTGCTTGTCGACGGGTCGGCGGCGTGGTCGAGGGGAAGGTCGCCGGCGGCCGCAACTCCGCCGCCGTCGCTCCGCCGGCTCTGATCGAGTATCGGGCGTTGAGGGCGGCGGCGCAAAGCGGGTCTGGCGCAGGGTTCGTGATTTCACATGGAAACAGCGAATCGGTTTCACTTTCACTTTCACTTCACATTTCATGTGAAACGAAATTTCACTTTTTCGAGCGAGTGTGAAGAGTCGTGTGAACGTAATGATGACGGATGCTCCCACCGAGTTCCGACACTCTGACACTCACTTGCACAGGTGTTGCTGTTGGCTCCCAAGCAGCAGCCAAGATGAAGGAGGCTGGAGATATTGGTCTCGCTGAGCTGATGTGTACAGTAGACCTATATGAATCTCATGGCATGCTGTGGGCGAATACGGTGCTGATGGTGGGATGAACTCTCTCAGCAGTCGAGAGTCGACTCTCGACGCATCGGGCAGGGCGGCCGCGGCGGTGTAGGGGCGGCGGCGAGCTCCCGGTTGCAAATACTCGCCTCACAGTCCAAGATGGCGGCTCGCCCCCCCATCCGTGCACCAGCGTGCCACTCTAGTCCCGCCTGCCGCCCAGATACCGAGGGCGGGGCGCACTCTTCGACTTGGGCTATTATTTGCCACCGGGAGGGCGGCGGCGGCGGTGTAGGGGCGGCGGCGAGCTCCCGGTTGCAAATACTCGCCGCACAGTCCAAGATGGCGGCTCGCGCCCCCAAGCATCCATGCTCTGATGTGTCGCTTGGGTCGCCTCTGCTGCTGTGTCTCTGTCTTAGCCAGATATCGAGAGCGCGCGACGACAACCAACCCCTTACCCTAACCCTAACCCTAACCCTAACCCTAACCCTAACCCTAGCCCGAAGAACCCAAAGCATTCACCGAGAGCTCGGGTCGACGGACCGCTGATTCCGCCATTTGGTTTCGGCCCAAACCGGACCATTCTCTTAGGAGCTGCACAACGGCTTGAACGCTCTCTGACCCTAACCCTAACCCTAACCCTAACCCTAACGACACGGTGCTTCTTAAGAGGTCGTGCGCGTCGCTGCCGACGCATCTCGCGTGTATGGTGTTTTGCAGTGTATTTCGGCGGGGGCGCGCATTAAAAGAACATTGAGGCAACACACACGTCCTCGAGCGCCCGAGGACACGAACCAAGCTGCACCTCCTCTCACTAGTTATTGTGGGCTCTTTCCTTTCTACACTTCCTCGCTTTCAAACACCGCGTTTTGATGCAGTGAGGGCGGGCCCCTGTTCTTTGAGCCTTGGGGACGACCACGGCCTTGACCACGGCCTCGCTGCAGGGAAGGTGGGAAGCAGGAACGCGCGGCATTGGTGGCACAGAGATCCCTACCGGTGCCGGCAGTGGTAGGCGCACCGCCGCTCTCTCCGCTGCCGCCTCCGCCGCTGCCGCCTCGACTGCTGCCGCCTCCGCCGCTGCCGCCTCGGAGATGCCAGAGCCTTCGAAAGTAGTCGAACTTGTGAAATTTTCAGTGAAACGGGGGCGGCCGAAACGTTTCATGTGAAATTCACATGAATTCACATGTGAAAGTGAAAGTGTGAAAATTCACTCACGAACCCTGGTCTGGCGCATCCATCGCCACGAGCCTCGCGGCGGCGGTCGTGGCACACCTGGCGGCGGCTCTCGGGGCCGTCTCTACGGCGCTCGACGCCGTGTGAGGTCGCCGGCGGCCGCAACTCCGTGTCTCCGCCGCCGTCGCTCCCCTTCTGCGCTGGCTCAGCTCTCGGCGCGCGGCGGCGGGCCCCCACGCCAGTCGCGCTCTCCCTCACCGGACTCGCCGCCCGCCAAGCGGGCTTCCTCCGCCGACTCGTCCGGCTACGACACCGATTTACCGTACAAGGAGTAAAACAAAACAACAACTCTAACACTCACACGTCATTTGGGGCCCCTGCACAATGATGTTTATGGTGGTTTAAAGTTTGCGGGGGGGGGGGGGGACAGCTTTACGACGGTTTTGCGTCTGGGGGGGCGACCCCCCCATCTTTGTTTACCGAATGCGTCTCTGGATTAGAGTGCGTCTAGTAGGCGTCCTACTTAGACGCTCGCTGTCCTCGGTATGCTCGAGCATCCTAAGATGCGCGAGTCCATATTAGTTGCTCCGCGCATCCCGGCGATCCCGAATTGCTCGCGGCATCTCCGATTGTGGCGTTGCTGTCTCAAAAGACGCGCCGTGCATACTGTGAACAGCGCGTGTCTCAGAAGACGCGCGCATATTTTGAACTATTCGTGCATACTGTGACGAACACGGAACAGCGCGTGTGGATCTCAACAGACAACAACTCACACAAGAAATATACGTGGCAAAAGAAAACAGGGCAAGCGGTGTGGCGAGCGCTGCGCGGCGGGCCGTGCCCCCGGCTGTGCGCCGCGGCCGCTGCACTACTACTCGCACAGCCGCGGCGCGCCCACCCGAGCACTCGTGGGTGGGCGCCCTATAGCCTCTCCGCGCAACGTGCTGGGGCACGGACAGCGGCTCTCACGTCTGGCAGCGGCAGCAGGCCCACCGCTGCACCGACTCACACTGAACAGCACGCACAGGACACAGTCACAGAACACTGCCCCTGACGCCACTCACGGCCACGGGCTACTCAGACTTGGACACAGGCACCTCGCTTAGCACTCCGTGCACGCGGCTGCCGGTTGCCGTTGCCAGCGCCGCTTCCTGCCCAGATCAAACACCTGCGACGAGGCGGAGGCGATGAGCGGCCCACGGTCGCCGTGAGAGCGCGTGGCGGGCGACGGCTCACCGATCGAGCGGAAGCGGTCGCGCTGCTCGAGAGTGGGGGCGGCGGCGAGGCGGACAAGCCACCCGCAGATCCCCAGAAGGACGCCGTCGCGAGGTCGAGGGCGGGCGGCGGGGGCGGCGAGGGTGAGGCGCGAGGCGCGAGGCGGTGTTGGCGGCGGCGGTGGCGCGGGCGGCGGCGGTCACGGAGCGGGGGCGAGAGGGTGGTGGCGAGCAAGACACCCGCGCGCGCTGCGCGGTCGCCGTTCTGACTCACATGCCTGCGGACAGCGCCGACGGGTGGTGAGGAGGGCGGCGAGCCGGCGGGCACGGTGTGCGCGCGGTCGCCGCGCGCTGGCGGGCGACAGCTCACCGAGCGAGGAGCGAGGAGCAGGAGCAGGAGCAGGAGCGAGTCGGGATGCCCGGTCCCTCAAATCGCCAAGTCAAACAAGAAAAACGCCACGGTTCTGGCCGACTCTCGGAAGTACGCTGTCTCTTCCGTGTTAGGCGCACGCCCACGCCCTCGGCCTCGAACTGGCCCCGCTACCTGCCGCGCAAACTGGTTGGTGGGGGGGGGAGCGGCGTCGCCGTCGGAGCGACGTAAGCAGTGCATGCAACTTTGCGCCCAGAGCTCGTGGCGCAAGCAGATGCATGCGCGGTGCTGAGAACCTGGTTCTCCAGGAGGGGCAGGCCGCGAGGAAAGACCTCACGCGAGCACTCAAGGCAGGGCCCCCAGGGGGTGCCGAGAGATCACACACCGCCTTTTCGATTTCGTCTGGATTTCGTGCTCCCTGCTCCCCCCTCGGTGCCCGGTGCACCCGACACACGGTGTCTCCTGAGACGCTTCCCTGTCCAAGTATAGTAAAATGTGATCTAGTATGCAATTGCCATCTCAGAACAGCTGTGCATCTATAGATGCTTGTGGCGTCTAAGATGGAACGCGTAACAAAAGACACGGCGCGGCTATCTCCAGGAGAGCCGTCGCATCCTAGAATGCCCTGTGTACCCGAGACACATGGTATCTTTGAGATGAAAAGTGCGTCCTAGAATGCGTTTTTGCATTCTAGGACGCATCGGTAAACAAAGATGGGGGGGTCGCCCCCCCAGACGTTGCGGACCCTGCCGACGCGCTACAGTTGTAGCCCCACTGCACATAAGATGGACACCTCAACGGGAAGGGCACTGGCTCCGGCTCAGGTCGCGGGGCATAGCTCGGGTGTAAACGGGGTCTGGGGCGGATGCCCCAGCGGCCCGCCGCAGGCGCCGCCGGAGGCCCCGGCCCGCCGCAGGCGCCGATTTTTTGGCGTTTTTGCTCAAAATTGAGATATTTCTCACATCAAATTCTCATCAAAATCGAGCTCGCTACGAGCTCTCTAACTGCAGGACAGCATCTCCTCGTTGAGCCCAGCGGCGCCCGTATCGCCCACGCCCACATTCTTCGTCTTCTTCTTGCCCTTCTTGCCCTTGGCCCTTGCTGCACTTAGCCGCTCAACCTCCGCCGGCAGCGGCTCCTTGGCATGCCGCGCATTCTCCATCTGCTTTGCTTCCCACGCTGCCGCTTCCTCTAAAGCAGCGCCGCCACTAAGCGGCGCAACCAAGTTCTCGCACTGTTTGCATGAGCATGTGTCTTGCTTGGCGCGGCGCACAATCCGCGCGCGGCGAGTGAGGTGCGTGAGAGCAGAAGACTCGCAGGTCGGATGGGCGGTGACGCCGTCGAGCGACGGCGCAAAGGCCAATCGCTGCTGCTGCGCCAACGAGAGCGGCGACACGAGGCTGCTGGCAGCTGGCAGAGCGAATCGCGATTCCGGCGGCCGCCGTCAGCCCGCCGACACCGACGGCCGAGCTGAGGTCAAACTCCGCCACAGGTCGGACCATCCGTGCGTCAGCCATGGGACGAGACGTCTGTGTGCAGACAGCCCGCCACCCGGGCGATAGAACATGCCAGCTGCTTGCAGGGCTCTCGTGGCCCGTGGTGAATAGGGCGGGCTGCGGCGGGCGCATAAACTATTCACAGCTTATGAACACCGGGAAAACTAAAGTCTGCAGAAGAGTTCGAGTGGTCTTCGTGCTCAGAAGGATCAAGAGAGCTCTATTCACACCCTTTGTGCGTTGAAGACCACAGGCAATGCCCGTTTACACCCAACCGACGAGTCGCTGGGCCCTCTGACCTGAGCCGCAGCCACTCGCAGCAGGCGGGGCCGAATCCTGCAGCCTTAGTCTTGGCCCGAGCCGGCGGCATGCCACGGGTAGGCGCGTTGAGGCTTGCCGCCTCCTCTGCGCCAACGCGGCTTGTGCCGCAGCTTGCGATTGCCGCCAGACAAGAGGAGGAGCAGAGCCGTTTGGGCCCTGTTCACGCGCGCGCGAGACGTGCAGACAGGGTTGCCAGGTGAGAGCGAATGGCGCGTTTCACGCCTCGCACAACAGAGAGAGAGATGCGCTCTGCATGGTGGGACATAAAAGAGAGCGAGTACTTGGGCGAGTAGGCCGTGCGGTCGACGCTCACGGGCGCGCTCCTCCGCAGCCTCGGCCGCCTCGAGGTCGGCGAGAGCGGCCGCCGCCTCGCGGTTACTCGATCGTGTTCGACGTCGTCGAACAATGTACGACGTCGTCGAACACAAGTGGAGAATGGCCGTAGCTCCTCTCCACGAGCGATTCAGAAGACGTACCACGTATCGATTCCGTATAGAATTTCAGCGCGCAGACGGCTGTCTAGACCAGGTCTCTTCATTCCGCCGCCGTGGCGCGGTATTTTTGATTGAAACTAGCGCGAACAGGCCATTTTGCCTCAGATTTGCCCTCTGGCGCGATCTTCTCGCGTCGGCAAGCGCGCGGGCCAGGATGGGCTAGCCGATCCCGCCACGCTGGACGGGCCAGCGGCTGGGAGGGGGGGGGCTTGTCAGGGGCGGCGTTAGGAGGGCCCGCCACCGAAGAAGGAGGGTGAAAAAACGGCCGACACGCTGCGCTGCTCGGGTCCTCTTCTTTCTGCTTCTTGAATTCTTCTTCTTCAGCTCTGCCAGGTGCCGCGTGCATGCCCTGGCGCCCTGGCGCACACACCGACCACCGGCCTTGTGTGTGCCAAAAAGGAGCTTGCCCGCAGCACTCCCCGCGTGCGTCCGGCGCCGCTGGCGGGCCCCACACTGCGCACGCCGCGTCGAGCCCTGCGCTGCGCAGCGCCCCCCTCGCTGCCCTGCGCCCCCCTCCTGCTGAGTGATTCCCCCTCGCATGCGCGCAGCATGCCGAACATCTGGGGCATCCATCCCAAGGAGAACTCGGCCGGCGCGCGCCACTGGTGCGCCCTGCCCCGCTGCCCAACGCGCTGAGCATGCCACATTGCCACGTGGCGGGTCGGCCGGCACGCCGCCGCCGAAAGCCTGATCCCTATCTCCCTCCCGCGCCCTCCGCAGCCGCGTTTGCCACAGCGTGCGCGGCCTTATCCGCAAGTATGGCCTCGACATCTGCCGTCGCTGCTTCCGCGAGTACGCCAAGGACATTGGCTTCATCAAGTATAGCTAATGCGGTTCAGGGACAGCCGACCCGCTGCCCCTGTGCGCTCTCTTTCGCTTCGCTCGTCGCGCCTTCCGCGGCGCGCCGCCAGAGGCTATCCCGCGTAGGATGCGGTGGCCCGTGATGAGCCGCGGCGGCGCGGTGTCGGAGGGAGAACGCGGCGCTGGAGGGGGGAGGGCGACGGTCACTGTATTTTAAGCTCAGTAACGTCGCAAACAGTTTTCTGGCAGTGAGAGTGGCCAGTGTTGCGTCTTCCCTCATGGTCATGCCAGATCGGTAGATGCCACGGCGCCGCTGGCGCGGGCCATCGCTCTCTGTCTCTCCTCGCTCTGTGCACGCTCGCGGCGACTGTCGTCGTGGAGTGTGGTGGGAAACAAAACCGGCGCCGCCCTGCGGGGTGTCGCCCGAGGCCCGCAACAAACGACACTGTGGCCCTGGCGCTCCAAAGCTCCTCTCCTCGCCAAATAAATCTGCCGTGGGTGTCTCCGCCAGACTCCGTCTCCCCAGCTCCCCAGCCACCGGCCCCGCGGATCACATAATCGTGCACGCGAGGCGGCATTCTATCGGCGCCTGCCAGGGTCGGGGGGGCGCGGTTGGTCAACAGCGCTTGCCAGGCGCGCGGAAGTGTGGTGCGACGCGGTGGATAGCATGCCCGGAGGCCAAAATGTGGGCGCTTTGATTCAGTTGTGTTGGAGCACGCACATGATGATCCGACACCCAGCAGATGCAGCAGCCGTTGGCGTACGACGTGAGCGAGAAGTCATCATCATCGTCCGTCGGCGGTCGTCTCGCCGGCCCCGCGTTTACCTGCGCTGGCGAGGCGATGGATGTGTGTAGGGCGCGCCTGTGGTCGAGCCGGCGGCGGCGTGGCCACGCACCCGATCCTTGGCGGACAAGCCTGACGTGATGGCTGTTTTCGGCGACTGATCTGTGCCTTTCCCAGCGGACGCAGCGGCGGCAGTGCCGTTGGCCATCGTGTCCCAACAGCAAGAGGAGCACACTTGGTGCGCCGCCTTCTTTCAGGGCACGCATTTTTTTTCCTTGTACCTTCGATCTCTTACTCTTAACCTAAACGTACACATTTCGAGCGAGTGAACAGCAGCTCCTGAGCACGGCGCCGCAGGCGCCTGTTGATAGGTCCAGTGATAGCCCTGGGTGGGCAATCAATGCATACGCCTACCTACTGGACCCCCTTGGTTTGGTTGTAAACTTTTCAGTGTATGTAGCTCTTATTACGAACATACCCGTAGGTGAACTGCTGACAGGGTTTGCGATGAGGAGCGATCCGAACGTGGTATTCGGGTGATTAGATCACTACCGCCGTAACGCAAGAGCACTGCGACGGATCGCGGGCTCATGCTAGCATCCACCTCGCGGGCCGACGTTCTGGCCCAGCGAGGCTGCTGCGGAGCACTCGGGGCCGATGTTCTGGCCCAGCGAGGCCGCTGCGGGACACACCGGCGGCTCGGTTCGCTCCTCAACGCAAACTCGGTCGAGCAAGAAGTCAGGTGTGTGTGTGTAGAGGCGGCGCGGCACGGTAAGGGTCGGCGGTAAGGCGGCGCGGCGGCAGCAGACGGCAGGCAGGACATCGGACGGCGGGACATACGGCGCGGCGGGCGCGGCACTGTAGGAGCGGCGGTACGGCGGCACGGCGGTAACGGACGGCAGGGGGTACGGCGGGCTAAACGGCAAGGGCGGCGCGGCACGGAGGAAGGAGCGGCACGGTAAGGAACGGTGGCACGACGGCAGACCACAGCGGCGAAGGAACGGCGGAGCATTGGACGGCGGGGAAACGGCTGGGCGGGGGGGCGAGGGGTGAGGCGAGGGTGGCGGCGGTCCGGATCACGAGGGAGTAGAAAGTCGGGCGGGAGGGTGAGGCGAGGGTGGCGGCGGTTCGGATCACGAGGGAGTAGAAAGTCGGGGGCGAGCGGGCGAGAGCGAGCGGCGAGCGAGGGCGGCGAGGCGGCGAGGGTGAGGCGAGGGTGGCGGCGGTTCGGATCACGAGGAGGTAGAAAGTCGGGCGCGAGCGGGCGGGGTGGCGGCGAGGCGGCGGGAGGGTGACAGGCGAGGGGGGTGGCGGGTTGGATCACGAGGAGGTGGAAAGTCGGGCGCGAGCGGGCGGGGTAGCGGCGAGGCGGCGGGACTTTTAGGCGGGCCCTGCAAATTCGAGTCGCAGCGGAGTGGGCCCCGAGCTTGAAAAGGGCGACGGAAGCTTGCGTCCTAGCCACCAACAACGCCTCCCCGGCGGTCACCTCCCCCTCCGAGAGATCAGGTAGGTAGGGCTGGGTGGAGGGTCCATCGCTTGAGCGGCGTGCGTGACGTATTCGCGCGCGCAACTCCACAAATGCCGCCGAATGGCGGCGAGCCGTGCCGGGCGACTTCGCCGGGCGCTGCGACCGGATGCAACGACCGCCGGATGCCAACCCTACAGTGCGGCGCCTCCGCGGAGTGCCGCAAGCTCCAGACCACGATGAGCCGGCAGGATCCAGCGCTTGCGCCGCTGCTCCTGTCGGCAGATGGCCGACCACTCAAGTATGTAACCCGATTGGCGTACAACGCACGCACGTCCAAGTCGGCCCGATCCGCCTACCCGCGCAGCGTGGTGCGCTCCAAGCTCAAGTCCGACGGGCAGAGGCCGCCGGTCGTGCAGGAATGCGCATAGGCGAGCGGTGATGTTGCTGGAGAGCACATGGATCAGCTGAGCCACCTGCCCCCCGCTTGCCGCTCGCACCTCCCCAGGTCCTCTGCCCGCAGCACTCGGGCTGCACCTGGTTCGTCTCGACGCTCTGCGCCTCCCTGCCAGAGGCAAGGTGCATACCAGACTACACTGCCTGCTGGCAGCCCGTGCCCATAAGTCCAACCCGCCCGCCGCCGCCTCCCCGGAGAACGCGGAGGCGTCCAGCGGCGGCTTCGCATCTCGAGGGCCAAGACTGGTTCATCCTTCCGGCGTCGGGCCCCCACGTGGTGAAGACGACGTTGCTGCCTCGCCGGGCCCTCTCGAGCTGGGAGGGCGTCGCCGTCACATACCGGATCCTTTTTCTTCGCAACCCGGTGCCGACCGGGTGGGGGCGAGGGAGGGAGCCGCGGCTCCGGGTCCCTCGGCGGGGTATAGAGCCTTTCTGCGGACACAACCCAGACCCTTGCCCCGACACCACACGCTAGGTGCAGCAGTTCCTCTCGGTTCAAAAGGAGCTGTGGAGGGACAACTGCGGTGGCATGGTGAGAAAGGCGCGTGGCTACGACGCGGCGGCGCTCCGCGCGTGGCTGGCTGGCAGTGCCGTCCCCGCAGGGCCGCACGGGGAGTGGGATTTTGACGCCATTGTCTTTTTCGAAGACTTTGCGAGGAACGGCGCCGCGCCCGCCGTCTAGCCCCCATGGAGCACTTGCCCCGCTCCGTATCATGAGCGGCGCCCTCGCCCCCATGGCCTAGCACAACGAGTGGACTGGGCAGTGGGGCGCTCGACCTAGCAGCTCACTCGCCCTTCTGCCCTGCGTGCTGGTGCAGGCTCCAAGCTGCGCCGGCGGCTGGGCCTCCCTGCGCCGCGCCGGAGGACCATGCCGCCGCGCGTGCGCGAGCGAAACACGAGCGCCGAGCTAGTCGACGCGGTGTGTGCCATGTCGCCCTTTCTGTGCGCGCTGTATGGCTTGGGGTACGACGCGCGCGGCGAGGCGATGCCCGGCGACCTGACGATGCCAAAGACCGCAGAGAAGCTCCGCCACGCGCTCAGCATCCGCAAGCCCTTCCCGTCGAATCGAACGCTGCCCTCTCTGAGCAGGAAGCGAGTGCGGATGCGCGTCGCGGTCGCGGGCGCAAAGTAGACTTTTGTGCCGTGCAACAATAAACAAACCGGCTCGACACACATTCCTCTAGTCGCCGACCACCCCTACGCCCCATCGTGCATCCGGAAAAGATCGAGATCGCCCAGATGCACAAAAGACGAGAAAACACGCGCCGCGGGGCCGAAAATGCGAAAATGTGTGAACAAAAGGACCGCATGGCGTGTCAATTTCCTCAACAAGCCTCACACATAAGACACACACGCATGCGAATGTGAGAAGTACGATGCAAATACGTATTAACCCCAGATTAATCCGAGCACTCTCTGCAAACAATCTCGGACCCGCGTGCGCTTGACTTTGGGTACAGGGCCTGAAAGCCGACGGGCGCACAGAGATCGCAGAGGAAGCCCTCGTCGCTCCACCGCGAACGCGGCGGCTCGCACTCGCGGTGAAATGCGCGCGGGCAGCCGTCGCACATGATCAGGTCGCCGGTGCGCGGCTTCCCGTCGGGCCCGAGGGGGCAGCGCCTCCGACCGTCCCACGCGTCAGACTCAGAGGGTTCTCTGCCGGGCTTAAGCGTCGCGCAGCAGTGGGCGTAGTGCCCATCGGCGTTGGCAAAGTAGGGCACGGGGCAGCAGTCGCAGCGGTCGTCGATCTTAAGTCCCTGCTGGATGTCGGTCTTCATCGGCATGTGCACAGCCCGGCAGAACCCGTCCGGGTAGCGGTCGGTGTTGCGCACCGACGAGTTTCCCCGGATTCCATTGCGAACCTGCATGTGCTTCTTGAGGTCGGCGCAGTGGCAGCCATCTTGCGAGCACCTCTTGCGCCACTTCTTTTTGAACGGGTCCCACATGTCGAGGTACAGCTCGTGCGAGTTGCCCCAGAGCGCCGATAGCTTGTGGGGCGCAAAATCGTCGAAGAGGCAGAAGGTCATCGGCATGCAGACAAGGCCAAGGCCGCCAAGGGTGACGGGCAGCTGCGCGATCGAGAGCATGAGCGGGTGCGAGACGAGGTCAGCCCACGGGTTCTCGATCGTGATGAGGATGTGCGGGTAGCGCCGCCGCAGGAAGTAGCAGATGGCGAGCATGTGGTGCACGTTCCTGTTCGCCTCGCACGCCTCTTGCGAAGTGCCCATGAAGAAGTTGCTCGCCAGGCGCTGGTGTTTCGATTTCGACAGTGTCGAGAAGGTGTCGCACTCGATGCCGAAGTGAGCCCACACCACGCGCCGGCTCCCCAGCAGCTGGTCGAGCTTCGTGTGGTCGAGCGGCAGCTTGTGGAAGTCGAGTTCAATCAGCTCGTCCTCGTGCAATTTGTTGCAGCCGCACTGGAACCTGATGCCGCTCTCGCGCCGCTCACCGTTGCATCCGAACTGGCCGCCGTCGTCGCTTCCGACGGGCTTTCCCGCGCGCTGTCGCTTTTGCCCTCCTTCCTTCGCGTCCCAGTGCGGCCACACCTTCTTCCGATCGTTGTCGAGACCCTTGACCTTGAAGTCCTTGTTCTCGTCCCGTAAGATGGACGCCATGGGCGACTCGCCGCAGAACGCCTCGAAAAAGAGCAACTCCTCGCCCCCTCCTCCCGCTCCCGTCGTCGCCGCCGCCGCCGCCGCCTTGCCCTTGCCGTTCCCGCGGCGGCAGTTCGTGGTCGGCGCCGCTCCCGCGAGAGCAGCCGCCGCGTCCGCCATATCCGCCGCCGCCACCGCCGCTTCCCGCTCGCTCGCATCGACGATGGCGTCCAACCGTGCTGCGTCAGGCTCGGAATCGGAGCCGCCTCCGCCGCCCGCCGCGCTTGGCTGATACGCCCGCTGGTCGGGCGCCTTGAGGGCCCTGCGCATGAGCAGCTCTGGAGTGGCATGCAGCTTGTTCACGGCGACCAGCTCCCAGCCGCTCAGCAGCTCGGGCGGCTCGAGGATGCACAAATTCTCCTCCTCCAGCTGCTCCTCCCACCCCGCGCCGCCGACCGCCACCGCGAAGCGGCACCACGTGTGCACGTCGCCGCAGATCATGCTGCCGTGGGTGTCAAAGGCGTACCCGCAGAGGAGCGACATCTCCTTGTCGGCCGCGGCGCGCGGCGTGATCTGCTCGAGGGTGCTCGCCTTGTGCGTCATCGGCTTGCCGTCGTCCGTGCCGCCGACCCAATGCAGCTCGACGTCGACCCGCTCCGCCTCGCCGCCGCCTCGCGGCGCCTGCGACGCGTACTCCTTCTGCGTCCTCGACCTGGTGTCGAGCGAGGTTTGGTGGTCGACCACACGCGCCAAAAAGTGCTGCGAGCAGTTGACGGATTGGACCGTGTCCTGATCTTCCCACACCGCGATGAGCTCGCCCAGCTGAGGCAAACCGGGCGCCGGTGAGCGGCCGCCACCGCGCGCGCTCCTCGCCCCTCCTCCGCCCCCAGCGCCGCTGCCGCCGTCGCTGCCGCCGCTGCTCGCTCCTCCTTCCTCGCGGATGGCGTTCTGGGCCCGCGCCACGAGCTTCTGCAAGAACGATGTGTGCTGCGTCACAGCCGTCGCAACGCGCCCCGACCCTAGCTCCTGATAGACACTGAGAGACGAGCCGTCGCCATCCTCGGTGAAAGCGATCCACGGCGACTCCGACGCGCCAATCTCCTCCGACAGAGCGGCGGGCGCCGCGTCGTCGCGCAGGCAGATCTTCGGGATGTGGCGCCGCGCCGCCACCATGGCGACATACCCGAGCAGCGCAGCGCCCACTTTCGCGGCGCTCGCCTCCTCGAGCGCCCCGTCGACCGCGAGGAGCGCCACGCCGACGCAGCGCGCCCCCTCCCCCTGGCCCCGCTCGTCGCGGAAGACGGCGCAGCCGAGCGGCGTCATGTCAAGGAAGAGCGCAACCACCATGTACTCGCCGCCCTTCCCAGGCTCGCTGAGGAGGGAGCGCAGCCGCTCGCCCTGCGCCTCGCATGCGAGGGCGGCGCGCAGACCGCCCGAAGACTCGTCCCCGAGGAGAGCACCGCTGAGCTCCTGGTACAGGCCGCGCGCCGAGAGGAGCGCAAACTTGAGCTGCGACGGCTCCTCCTGCACCGCCGCCAGGGCGGCCTGCACGCTGCTGCGCGTGCCCTGCGGCGACGCGCGCGAGGGAGCGCGGCTGCTGCTGCCGGCGCCGCGCGGGGCCCCGCGCGTGCGCTTCTGCCGCAACCCCAGCGGATCGGGGCCAAACAGCTCGAGCTGATACCGACGGTTTTCCTCGATCGCCTCCAATCGCCTCAGCTCGATCGGCGCCAGGTCGCTGCTCGGGCCGGCACCGCCGCTGCCGCTGCCGCTGGCGCCACCGCTGCTGCCAGCGCCGCTGCTGCCAGCGCCGCCGCGTCTGCCCGCACCGCCGCTCACGCCACCGCTACCGCTGCCGCTCGCGCCACCACTACAGCTGCTGGCTGCGCCGCTGCTACTGCCCGCGCCGCCGCCACCGCCGCCGCTCTCCTCCTCCTCCTCCGAATTTGTCTCGAGGACGACCACTTGTATCCGCTTGCCAGCCGCACTCTCGTTGCCGGTCGAGGCGCGCAGCCGCACGGCGGGTGGCGCGCCTGCAATCCCCGCCGCCGCGGGTTTGCGCTTGATGCCGGATTGCCCCTTGACGTGGTGAAAGACAAGGCCATGGGCGGGCTGCGCGCGGGGGGCGCCCTCCTCCTCATCGCTCTCCGAGTCCGCCGCCGAGGCGGGCGGGCCGGCGGGGGCGGCGGGCGGGGCGTCGGGCGCCGCCGAGGCCGAATCGTCTGCGCGCTTGTTCCCGCACACCTCGCACTGCAGGAACATCATGTTCGTGTTGACGAGTGTGCAGAAAGAACACGTCCATGACTGAGTCGCCGGCGCCGCAACGTGCATGGGGTCTGCCGCGAGCATCGGGTCTTCCGCGAGCGTTGGGTCTGCCGCGGGCGCTGGAGCCAGCCCGGGCGCCGGCGCCATCGCGGGCGCCGGAGCCATCGCGGGCGGCGAGGCCGGCGCGGGCGCCGAGGCCAGCGCGGGCGCCGGATCCATATAGGCTTGGGCGCCGTAGCTGGCTCCACCCACTGGTGAGTCGGTGCTTGCGCCATCGCCCTCTTCACCGTGCGCCGCTGTCATCTCGCCGTCCTCGCCGTCGTCGGAGATGCTCCCAGGGGAGAAGGCGCCCGAGCTGCTGTCGTCGCTCTCAAACCCCTGCATGGACACTGTGTGAGGGGATCCAGGGTAGAGTGCCCGGCTCTCGCGTCTCGCTCTCGCAGACGCTCCCCGCCAAGGGGCGAGTCATTTCTTTTTTGCCCTTTTATTTTTGCCGTTGCTGTCCTCGGTTTAGTGTTTTGTTTTTCTCTGCTATGGTGAGAGGGCTCGACGCCCTCTTCGGCCGGTCTGCCGAGCCGCGGCCGCCGCCGCGTGCTCCTTCGCCGCACGAGGCCCAGGCCGCCGTGTACACTTCCGCTCCCGCGGCCTCCGCCGCCTCCGCTGTCTCCGCTTCTACCTCCACCGCACCGTTGCCGCGGATCGACGCAGCGGAGGCGCAGTACTGGGAGTACCCCGAGGCGGGCACGGGGAGCGAGTTCCGCTCGTACCAGCACGTGATGACGCGCGAGGCGCTCGCCGCAAACACGCTGGTCTCGCTCCCAACAGGCTTTGGCAAGACGTTTGTCGCCGCCGCCGTGATGCGCAACTTCCTGCGCTGGTTCCCGGACGGGCTGGTCGTCTTCATGGCGCCGACGCGGCCGCTGGTCCACCAGCAGCGCGACGCGTGCGCCAAGGCGGACCTTCCCGCGGATGGCGAGGCCGCTCTGCTGACGGGAGATCTTCCTCCGTCGGAGCGTCGCGCGCTGTGGAGCACGGGGCACGGGAGCGAGGGGTGGAGGAGGGAGGGACGACACGGGTGGGCGGGCGGCGCGGACGCACCCGCCGCCGCGCGCCGCCTCTTCTTTTGCACGCCGCAGACCTTTGAGAATGATTTGCGGCAATCCCTTCGTAGATGCGGGAATGCGGATCTTTGTCTCCCGACTAGCACTCGAGAGGACTAGCGCAGTCCCTTCAGCCCGCTGTCGTCCGCTGTGCTCGCTCTACTCGCAGGCCTCGTAGCGCGGTGCGAGTACACCGCGCGAGACCGCCTTCACGGCCCGACTCTCTTGTGCTCCCGCCTCAGGCTTGGCGTGGCAGACGGGCGGCGGGTTGTCTGCGTGGTGATGGACGAGGCACACCACCCTAGAAGCGGAATGCGTGTTCATGTATCCCAACTGGCACTCGAGAGGACGCGGATTCAGCCGTACTCGGCCGTATTCCACTGTATTCGCTGTACTCTTCTCCGTTGTATTCACGCGGTGCTCTGAAGACGCTGCACAATACCGTCTTCCCGCCCTCATGTCGGCGTATTCAGCACGTAGGCACACCACGCCGCCTCAGCCGGCTACGCGTACGCCAAGGTCGCCGAGCTGCTGCGTTGCGCCGGCGCCTCGTGCCGCATCCTTGCCCTCTCCGCCACGGCGGGGGCAGACCTCGGCGAGACCCAGCCGAGACCAAGCCGAGATCATGGGGAGATCTAGCCGAGACCCAGCCGAGATCTTGGGGAGATCTAGCCGAGACCCAGCCGAGGTCAAGCCGAGGTCTACGGCAGAGGCGCCGCTCACCGCCGTGGGCGTGAACAGGCGCCGTCCAGCGCGTCGTCCGCACGCTCCGCATCTGCAGGTGCGTGGTTAATTCACTCTCCGTTCACTCTGAATCCCCCCTTTTTCTTCCTCGCACGCTCCGCATCTCTGCAGCCTCGAGGCGCGCGCCGAGGGGGACGCCGACCTGCTCGCCCACACGCACTGTCGCGCGGTCCGCGTCGTGCGCGTCGCGGCGACGCGGAGCTCGGCGGCGGCGGCGGCGGCGGCGGGCCGCGCTGGCGGCGCGGAGGCGCCGTTCGAGCGGGTGGCGCTCTCCCTTCCGGAGCGGTGTCTGATGCCCTGTTTGCCCCGTGGAGCAGGCGCTGCTGCGGTCGCTGCTGCTGCCGCCGGCGGAGGAGGCGGCGGCGAGGCTGCGAGGCGCCCACGCGCTCGACGCTGACCCGTCGTGCGAAATCGACGCCTCCGCCCTCTGCCGCGCGCGCGCGAGGCTCGAGCGGGTGGCGGCAGAGGAGGGGCGGGCGGGCGGGCGGGAGGGCGGTTCTGGCGACACGCGGCTTGCGCACTTGTTTGGGTGGGGCCGGCCGGCGCAGTGCGCAGAGAAGCTGCTGGCAGACCTCGCCCTCCTCGCCGCGGTGAGGAGGGGCGTGGCGCTGCTGAGCGAGATGCGCCGCGGAGGCGGGGGCGGCGGAGGGGAGGGCGGCTGGGAAGGCGGTGGCTGGGAAGGCGGTGGCGGGGAGTGGGGCGGCGGAGGGGAGGGCGGCTGGGGCGGCTGGGGCGAGGAAGGAGGCGAGGGCGGCAGGGGCGGCTGGGGCGGCGACGGCCCAGCCGGGAGTCGCGTGGAGCTGCTGCGAACCACTTTCCGCGCGGCCGTGGCGGCAGGGTACCCCCCGCCCCTCGCCCGCGCGGGCGTCGCGCTCGCTTGCTCGTCGGACACGACGGTCTCCGAGGCGGTGCGGCTGATGCCCAAGTGGCGCGAGCTGACCGCCCTCCTCTCGCGCCACGCCGCCGAGCAGCCGCACTCGCGCGCAATAGTCTTTGTCGGCCGCCGCGACACCGTCTCTGCCCTCTGCGCCGTGCTAAGCGACGGAGGCGGCGGCGGCGGCGGAGGCGGCGGGTCTGCAGACTTGCTGCGCGTCTCCCCTTTCGTGGGACAGGCGAGGGCGTCGCACAGCGACGGCGCGGGTGCAGCCGGCATGCCGCAGGCGGAGCAGCAGCGCGTGCTCGCAGCCTTCCGCGCGGGCGCGATCAACGTCCTCATCGCCACGAGCGTTGCGGAGGAGGGCCTCGACATTGGTCAGGTCGACCTCATCGTCTGCCTCGACGCCGTCGCCTCGCCGATCCGCCTCGTGCAGCGCTTTGGCCGCACGGGCGCCTGCTACAGTCGAGATCCCGCCGAGATCCCGCCGAGATCCCGCCGAGATAGGGCGGCGAGGGCCATGGGCGGCGAGGGCCATGTTCAGAGCACAGCACAGCCGCATCCCTCCGGCTCTGTGCACGGCTCGAGCCGACGTGCTCACCGCGGCAGCGCGTGTCAAGCTGTCGACATGCTCACCGTGGTAGCGCGTGTGAACAGGCCGAACGCGGGACGGCGCAGGATGGTGTGAACAGCGTCTCTTCACACCTCTAGCTGTGAACAGGCCGCAAGCGGGACGGCGCGTGCGTCCTGCTGCTGACAGAGGCCGAGGAGCGACAGTACGAGGAGACGCAGCGGCAGGCGGCCCGGCTGCAGGCCGCTGTGGACATCGGGCGGGGCATCGACCTCTGCGCCGTCGATCCGGCCCCGCTCTCCGCCGAGGACGTGCGCAACTTGCGTTGCCGCTTCACGCGGGCGCCGGCCCCGCACGCGAACCCATCGCTGCCGGCGAACGCTTCGCTGGCGAATCTCTCGCTGCCTCGGGGGACGGTGGGTCGTGAGCGCGCGGGCGGCGGCGTGCGCGGGGGCGGGGGAGGCGGAGGCGGCGTGGGCGGAGGTGGAGGCGGCGGAGGAGGCGGCCGTGCAGGGCGGCGGTGTGCGCGTGGCAGAGGGGGGGGAGGCGGCGGGGCGGCAGGCCCGGCGCTCTCGGACGTGGACTCCTCGGAGGGGGAGGAGGCGGAGGCGGGGGAGGAGGCGGGGGAGGGGGAGGGGGAGGGGGAGGGGTCGTGGGGCCGCGGGGCAATCCGCCCCGCGTGGGCAGAGAGAGGCGCGCCGCCGACGCCGCGTCTCGCTGCCGCCGGCCACTCGCCAGAGAGGGGCGGTGAGAGGGGTGGTGCCCGCACTCTGCCGGCGCCTCGCGGCGGCAGCCGAGCCACCCGCGAGGGAGCGCGGTGCGCAGCCGCTGTGGCGCCCTCGGACGACGACGATGACTTTGCCGCGGCCGGCGCGGCTGCCTTCCCGTGCGGCGGAGCTTGCGGTGGCGGCGACGGAGGCGACTCTGCCGATGCGGACTTCACCGGCGGCGCTCCGCATAGCGACAGCGACGGCGGCGGCGGTGTCTTCGCCCAGCCGTCTCTCGCTCGGAGCCGCGCGTCGGCGCAGCCCGCGGGACACTTGCTCTGGGGACCTCCGGCGCACGCGCACACGAGCCATTGCGGCGCCCCTCCGGGTTGGCCGCTCCATGGAAGCGGGCGCGGCGGCCCGGCGGTGCCGGCCAAGCGGGCCCGCGTCGGCGAGGGCGCCGGGGGGTGCGACGAGGGCACCGGGGGGTGCGACGACGGGAAGGAGAACGGGCCGGCTGCCGGCTCGCCGGTCAAGGTGGGCACGGACGCCGCCGCCGCCTGGGAGCTGAGCCCGTTTGCGGCGAGGGCCCGGGCGGGAGGGGCAGGCGGCGTGCGTGGCACGCCGCCTGGAGTGGTGGCGCCGCGCCCTCGCCTCCGTCCCTTCGGTTCGTGTATGTGATAGGTCGCAGCGGACGTGGTCTTTTCCGCGGGGGGGGGGGGCTATCTGTTCCCTCCGCTTTCATTCTATCGCTCCTAGCGTACTTAACGAGAACACAAGACACAACCCCCTCTCCCTTTTCTCCCAGTAAGCTAAAAGTAGTAGTACTTAACTCGAGCCTCCAAGGCTTGGTGATACGAGGATTCGCAGGGCAGCGCCAGGCGCGGGGGCCCGCGGGGCCCCAGCTATAGTCTACCCCAGCGCCCAGCGCCAGCGGCGTGATATACTCTCAATAGACCGTAAAAAAACTCGGACCCACGTAGACAACAAGGAGCGCGCGCGGCGCGCGCGGCGCGCGCCAAAGGCCGCCTCCGTGACACTCCCATCACCTGGGCCGGCGCGGGAGTTTTAACGAGTTTCTCCCGCCACTCGACGCCCCGCGCGCCCGCGGCCGCCTCTCGCCTGCTTGCGATGCCCTCGCCGGCCGCCGCCGCCCGCGCTCCAGCCTAACCAGCTTTCTGCTCCAGCCTAACCAGCTCTGTGCTCCAGCCCAACCAGCTCTGTGCTCAAGCCTAACCAGCTCTGTGCCCCAGCCTAACAGCTCTCCAGCCTAACCCCCTAACCAGACAGTGCTCCACCAGCTCTGTGCTACAGCTAACCAGGCAGCTCTGCATCTCGCAACACACACATGACAGGGACAGACCAGGCGCAGGAAAAGGGAGCGGGGCCCGAATCCAAGGGACCACCCCGTCGGGCGGAGGAGCTGTGAACTCAGGACCAGTAGGAAGGCTGCTGGCTCCTGGAGCGGCCGCACATTGCTCGGTACCCCCCCTGCACTTCTAAGCCCGTCCCTGCTGCTAGGGGTTGGGGGTCTGACCCCCCCCGCAGCAGAGCTCTGCTGCTGCTCGGGGGGTCCCCGGACACCCCCAGCAGCAGAGCTTTGCTGCTGTGGGGGGGGGGGTCCGGACCCCCCCAGCTAGCAGCAGAGCGCACTGGACCCAGCTCCCGCCCCTTCGTCGCCGCCGCCCCCCTGGCTGGTCCATCGCGAACCCACTATGATTATCGGAAGCTCTCCTCCAACAGCAGAGATGTGGGTGTCTTCCGACAAATCAAGCAGCCCGACCGCCGCGAAGCGGGATGATAGCGAGAGGTGTACTCCGCGAGGTTGAGCGCTGCACGCGGTACTCGGCGGTGTCGCAGCGTCGAGCAACACTCGGTGTCAGAGCGTCGCGCCAAATCAGTAGTCTCATCGCCGAGTGATTGCTGGCCTGTGGCGTATGACCTCGCGCGGATATCACCAACAACGAGCATGCGAAGATAGGGAACCATGTCTGATGGACTTGTACCGCCCGCTGTGCTCTCCGCTGTGCCACAGCTGCGAGAGCCGTATCTTCCCTCCTTGAAGCAGAGGCGCCGCGAGGCACGCGAGGCGTAGAAGAGAGGCTGGCGTGCCCCGCACCGCCCGGCTGGCAGTAGGAGGGCCCGCCGGTGAGACCACTGATTTTGGTGCCGACCATAAATTCTCGCCATTTGGAACGCATGCTACTTAAAGTACAGCTGCTGTCTGTACAGAGATGCCAGCACCCCCCACAGGCAGAGCTCTGCTGCTAGGACGAGATTATAGTTTCACGAGCGTTTTTTCGCCAACCCGCAAGGCTGCAACCACGATCTCACACCACGCGGACGTGCCACCAGCGCTCGGCTGGCGTGCGGCAATACGGGCACGCTCGCAGCCGAGCGGAGCAGGGGCCGCAGACACACTGGTGGCCACACGGCACAGCGACGTGCGACTTCGGCCTAGTGAAGCACACGATACACGTAGTCTGGCCACCGATGGTGGACTCAGGAGCGTCTCGACGGCCGGTGTCGAAGCTAGCGTCCGCCAGCGAGAGGACCTCAGGCGGCGGTGCCGAGGGGGTGGAGCGGCCGGCATGCCCCGCCCCCGCCTCGCCAACCGCCTCCTCGGCCTCCGCCACGGCCGGCTTCGGTGCCGTCTGCTGCCCCTCTTCCTCCCTCCCGTGGTCTACCGCCGATGCTTGCTCCGCCGCCGCCGCCTCGCTCACTCCATCGGCTGGATCACTGAGCGGCTCCCTCACCTGCCAGCCCGACGCCTTAGCTGTCGACGTCTGCGGCAGATGCTGGACGGTCACCGAGTCGGGTGAACCGTCAGTATGCTGCCCCTCTCCCTCCCTCCCGTCTGCCTCTGCTTGCTCCGCCGCCGCCGCCGCGGCCGCCGCGGCCGCCGCCGCCGCCCTCTCTTCAGCCCGCCTCCTAGCCCGCTCCCGGAATGCTCTCTCCGCTGGCCGCTGCCCCCTCTGCCTCCTGTGTGCTCGGCTCGCCCGGTGGCGCCACGCGCGCCAGCCAGCGACGACCGCCACGAGCAGCAGCGCCAGAATCACGGCGACGGCGCTGTTCGAGGCGTTGGGACGGCCGGCGGGGCTCTCTGCTCCCGCCCCCTCCGGCCGAACCTGCCGCCCTTGCTGTTGCAGGACCTCCCGCACCCTCTGTTGTGCTGACAACAGGTCCCCTCCGGGGACAGAGAGCACTTGTTTCACCGGGTGCCCTTGCGCTGGTAACAGATTCTGCTGCCTCAGGAACTCCCGCGCCCTCTCTTGTGCCGAGCCACCCAGTATGTGCTGGATCCACGGCTTGTCGAGGTCCAGACGGCTAAGCGGGTCCGGACCACTCAATGGGGGGGATGCGTGCTTGTCTAGCCGTCGCTGCTCGCCCATGAGGCCTTGCGACGTCATGGAGCCGGCTGGCTGCGGCTCGTCTAGCCGTCGCTGCACGTCTGAGACGGCCTTTTGCATCGCTGACCACTGAGCCACCCAGCCTCGATTGGTGCCAGGCGGCAGCTCGGCTGGAAACGGCCAGCGGGCACCGGAGCGGAGTAGAATAGCGACTACCTCTCCTGCGGCCGCACTCTGGCTGAGGGAGAGTGTGAGGGCGGCGCTCATGAGAGCGGTGCTGCCGCTGGCGTCAGTCAAGTGCACGTCGGCACCAAGCTCGAGCAGAAGTCTCACCAATGGCGGATCCGCATAGTAGGCGGCCGACATCAGCAGCGTGGGCTCGTCTTTGTCGTCAGGGTCCCGGGCGTCGGGAGAAACATCACTTCGCTCGAGCAGCTTTCGAAGTACGAAGGCGCGGCTCAGACGCTCACCGGGACTGTCGCCGGCAGCGCTGCTAGCCAACAATCTGAAGATCTCTCGCACAGCGTTCATTCCCGACAGATCGCGAGTAGCCAGGCTCGGGGCCGGCACCACTGGCATGGCTGAAGCCGGCGTGCTTTGCCCTCGGAGGGAACGTGCATATATGCGATAATGGGCTACATCCCCCCGTTGGCCGCCGTTTTTGCGCCTGCTGGTTTCCCTCATAAAATTCTTTTTCGTAATACTGCTGCTCCCCCTCGCGGGCACACGATGCGGGGATTGGAGCGCTGGTTGCCGTCGGATTGGAGCGCTGGTTGATACTGACTGACGTACCTAGGTGGGCGTTCCGCCGGTCGACGGACCGTCCCCGCGGTGCTTCGTGGTCGCCGCCTGCGGCATCATCGCCGCCCAGGCATCGCTAGCAGGGGCGTTCCGATGTGTTGCGATGTGTTACGACTCGCTCTCCAGCGGGGGGGGGGGGGGGGTCGGCCATGGGCTTAGGTGTGCAGGGGGGGTACCTTACCATTCCACCACCTCACACACACCCCTCTCCTAGGGCTAAAGCAGTGCGCGAGCCCACCCGACTTCAGGCGAGGCGTCGACCACTCCTTTGGAATAGTTCCGTCAGTGGCTGCCTCAAGCTCAGTGGATCCGTCAGTGGCGATTGCTGAGCATGAGAAGGATCGATCCGGATTAGAAGGCGCCCGCCGCAGGCGAAGAAAATTTGGGGGCAGCGCCGTATCGTTGATCACGGTGGGAGCCTCTTGGAGCCCCAGGCCGTGCCACGGCAGACTTAGCCCGCATAACGGAGGCTGCCGCCGATCTTAGACCGCGTAAGCACCCCAGCGTGCCAGGGCACACTTAGACCCGCTAAGCCTCGAGGCTCAGAACTTAGACTACTACCCAACCCCAGTTGCACTTGTCGCCCATAGATGGCGCGCGGCGCGGGCGGATGACTAACTAGGGGAGAAAAAGCGGAGATCCTAGCTCGCTGGGAGACGTGCGCAACCTAAAGTTGGGAATAGGGGAGAAGTGTCAGTGTGAGGGAAGGGCGTAGGCTGGCGTTTTTGCCTTTGAAAACTGAACAGTTTTTTTTCTATAGACTGTGTGTACGGCTTTTCCTTCAATCCTTCATGCAGTATCCAGTAAAATGGAGCCCTGTATTTGGGCCGCTAGCTAGCCGTTGCGCGTCGGGAATAATGACTACTGTGCGAGAGCCCCCCTGTAGTGTCGGGACGAATGCTGCCTCCCGGTCAAGACGAGAAGCGCGGCTCGACCTCGATCACGGTCCAAACCACGTGGTCGCTCTCCATCCGGTGGGTGCGCCCCGTCGGCGACAGGAAGGTCAGGGGCGGGTAGCAAATCTCGGCCTCGCTGGGGAAGCAGGAGACAAAGGAGAGGTCGGCACCTACGCCTCGGGCAGGTCCGGTGTGAGCTGCTTGGCAAGCCCTCGGGTCGAGCCGAGGGCGGGCAAGGCGCGCCACGGTCGAGGAAGGAGTCGGTATGCAGCTTGAGGAGCAGCGCGTGGTGCTGCTGCGCCTCGCGCGCGAGGGCGTAGCGCACCGCGACCGAGAAAGAGGTTGTGGCAGACATGGGCGCCACCTCGGTGCCGCCGCTCGCCTGGAACGAGGCGTCAAAGGCGAGGCCAGACATGCCTCGCCACAAGTCCATCGGCTCGTGCGCGCTCGAAGTGCTCGCCGCCACCCGGATGCCGTCCGAGAAGGTCGCAGCGCACGTCGCCGCAGGTCGGCACGCGGGGGCCCATTTTTCCGTGACCCGCCTCGGAGCTTGCCCTCAGGCGCAGTACATCAACCGCATCGGCCGCACCGGCCGCGCCGGCAAGGCGGGCGGCGGATACCTGCTGCTCGCGGAGGAGGAGGCGCCCTTCCTCCGCCTCGTTGCGGACCTGCCGATCAGCAGCCGGCCGGCGGCGACCGCCGCCGACGCGGCTGCGGCCGGGCAGGCGATTGGCGCGGCGCTCGCGCAGGTGCCCGCCGGCACAAAGCAGTCTTCGTACAGCGCGTGGCTCGGCTTCTACAACACCTTCAGCAAGCGGCTCGGCTGGTCCAAGGAGGAGCTGGTCCGTCGCGCCAACGTGTTCGCTTCGACGGTGCTGCAGCTCGACTCGCCGCCCGCCCTCGAGGCGAAGACGGTCGGGAAGATGGGACTGAAGGGCGTGCGCGGGCTCATCATCGGAGGCGGAGGGGGCGGCGGCGGCGGCGGCGGCGGCGGCGGAGGCGGCGGAGGCGGCGGCGGTGGCGGAGGCCCGCGCAAGACGATCGACAAGCGTGGCGGCAAGGGCGGAGGAAAGGGCGGAGGAAAGGGCGGGTGGATGAAGGGCGGCAAGGGTGGTGGCAAGGGCAAGGGGCGGAGGTGAGTCCCCCCCCCCCCCTTTCCCCCCCCCCCCCCCGCGCGACTGAACTTCGCGCGCTCCTCCTATGAGCTAAAAGCTGTCCCGCCCCACCGCGACTGAACTTCGCACGCTCCTCCTCTGACTGAGCTGAAACATAAAAGCGACCCAGATCGTGCATGGCTGGGACACATGTTCCTAAAATCCCATCTCTCGTCGCTCACACGCCGTCGTCTCAACGTCTCAGAGCACTTTCGACTTTGGAGCACTTGGAGTTTGACCGTTTTATTCATTTTATCTCTTTGAACTATTCATTGTTATTGCGGGGGCGGGGACCTGTTCCTTTATAATTCGCGGTTTCTCTTTTTTTGAAGATTGCGCGGGGCCGCAGTTCCGTCAGCTCCGTGTCAACTCGGTCAATGCGACGAAAGCTGCTCCTGGTGGGCCTGGACTGGGTGAGGCGCAAAGACCCACCGGTAAGCCTCGCCACCGCAAGTATTGCTGCGGCATGCGCAAGCGGCTCACACATTCGCGGATCCTTACGCTCAACGTCAACAACGCAAAACCGTTCGTTGGCGATGAGCTGACGGAACTGCTGCACGATGCGATTGCCGGCGAAGGCGAGGGGTCAAGTTCGTGGCTCGTTGGCCTGGGCGGCTACGTGTGGGCCGAGCACCTCCTCGGTGACACCATGAAAAACATCAAGCTCTGGGAAGAGAGACACGCATCGTGCTCGGCGGACCTCAAGTCACCTACGCCCCGGGTGGGACTTTCCTTCCGGAACACTACCCGCTCGCGGACCACTTCATCAGAGGCGACGGAGAGGAGGCAGTGCGTAGGCTGCTACTGGGCGGCAACGCATCGCCAATCGGCGTGCCAGACTTGCACTCCCTTCCCTCGCCATTCCTCACCGGCTGGCTGCCTCCTCAGCGTTTCCTCCGGTGGGAAACGCAGCGCGGCTGTCCCTTTTCGTGCAGCGTTTCCCACCGGAGTGGATGCATCCGGCCTCGAAGACATATTTAATTCCACATGCACGTCCCCCTGCGCCGTCCACTCTCAGAATCCACACTCACATCTTGAGCTCGCGAACCCATACCCTTCCCGCCCGCTCACCGCATCTCGTCTCACTATCTGGTATCTCTCCCTCGTCAGCTTGTTGCCACGTGTTGCCCCAGAACGAGAGGGTAGCAGGGTTGGTCAGCACCCTGCTGAAAAATAGAAACGCGCAAACACCTTTCCTCCAAAAGCGCTACAAAGACATACATGACTGTCCGATTTGGATTTCATGCACCTCCCTGCGCCAACTCCGACCCCAGAGCCCACTCACATCAAGAGCTCGAACCCTTCCCGCCCGCTAACCGCATCTCGAATCGCTCCCTTGCCCTGGTCGCCCAAACCGTTCATGCGAATGTTGAGGCGTTTCAACACCCCGTTGCCGCGCAACGCCTCGGCGATCGCGGCGGCGCCCTCATCGCCGATTTTGTTATAGCCGATGTGGAGGGTTTTCAGCACCGCATTGTCCGCAATCAGCGACGCGATCACGATGGCCGAGGTGGGTCCGAGGCCCATGCCAAAGAGGTCGAGGGATGCGACCGGGTCGGTGCCGCGCAGCTTTGGCAGGTCGAGCCACGAGTTGTCGAGCCACGAGCACCGTCGCAACCCGCTCGACGTAGTCTTCGTACAGCTTGGGCACCTTCTCCTTGTCGCTCTTGCCGGTGAAGGTGGCCTTCTCGATGCTCTCGACCACCTGCTGCACTCGCTGCCAGACATCACTGTGCGACAGCTCCACCGGCTCGGGTGCCCTGCCGCTGGCCAGCGAGACCAGCTTTGGCGGCAACTTGTCGAGTTCCGCCTTCATCCGCGGGTAGACGCTCAGCCGCACGAGTAGCTCGCCGCTCACCCCGCCCTCGAAGCAGCACCTGTCGCGCGAGGGCACCGCACGCCTTTGCTCGTGCGTGGTGTGCAAAGCGCTCGGGGCGGGTCGCACCAGCCGCGGCCCTCGTCGCCGTCACGCCCGCCCTCGCCATCGCCGCGGCCATCATACGAGCGCTCGTTGTACCGCGTGTCGACGCCTCCGCACAGCTCCGAGAAGGTGTTCGCCGCCTTGGCTCGCAGCGCCGCCGCGTGTGTGGTGAAGCGCACGACGCCGTACGTCGACTCAAATGCCAGGTCGCAGCTTTCGAACTCGGTTGACAGGTCGCCGCTGAGGGCTTGGCGGACCGCCGCCTCGTCCACCCAATCCTTGAGGCCAAAAAGGCAAAGCTCGCCGTCAAACTCCTGCGGGCGAGGTGGGATCTCCTTGATCTGCAGCACCGTCGTGCCAACCGCAGAGGCGTAGACGTCGCCCATGACGCCGAGCGCGCGCTTGAAGGCTTCGTTCTCGGCCTTGGTGCGCGTCCCCTTCGGTGGGTGCTGCATAACAAAGGGACCTGTCAGCTCGCCACAGAAGGCGTGCGGTGTGAGCGGGTGGGTCCGCTGGCCTGGAAGAGCGAAGCGTAGTCCACGAAGATGGCCTCAATGTGCGTGAGGACTAAGAGCGCCTCGCGGAGAATCTTCAGCTTGACGCCCGCCGGGTCAGGATCGCCAGGTGAATACCAGGGACTGCGGTGCGCACGCAATTCGGTTGGTGCGTGCAGTCGGTGGGGGGAATGCGGGGAATGGCCCTGAGGGCACAGGTGGCGCGCACTGTGTCAGGGCACCAATGCTGCGATCGCCGCGCTCGAGGAGCGCAGCCGCCTCTTCTGGACTGAGCAGCGGCAGCGGCATTTCGCCTCGACGCTCGCGCTCCTCAAGCACCTGCCTGTACGGCAAGTGCTGGTCGGGAGCCTCGAGAACCCATGCACGGCGGAGCAGGCGGATGTCGCCGCGTCTGAACGTCGCCGTCAAGCCCTCGTCGAGCTGCCGGCACTTGTCGACGGTGCTCCCGCGGAACAGCGACAGCTGGCGGTCTGCTGTAGGGCCGCTGCATGTGCTGGCGGCTGCGCCGTCCGTGCGAGCGCCGTATGTGCGCGCCCGCTTGGTAGCCGGCTCCTCACAGCTGCTGGTGACCATCTTCTGACGAGAGCGGCTCACCGTGCGGGTAGAGCAACAAACAACGACAGCAGTCCAGCGGTGTGGCGGCAAGGGGGTGCTCGCTGTTGTCGCGCGCTTCAAGTTCCTTTCGGTTACAAAGGTTAGTTAGGGATTTGCGAGCACCTAATTCGTATAACTGCATTGCGAGCACCACGAGGACGCCTCAGGCGCTCGCTCGCCTTTCAACGGAGGGCCGCGTGCAACTGGGGGGTCGGGGGTAACCCCCGACTGCCTTCGACGGCAACGCGCCGCGCCGCTGCCCGACAGCCATTTGTGCACGCGCGTATGGCAGACGCTCCCTTCCTGTCTCCTCACCCGCGCGCCCTCGCACCGTCCGACATTGTGCTTGGCGCCATTTGGATCGCTCCCGGCGGAGGCGAACAGGGCGACGGCGCTCGCGGCGATCCAGGCCAAGACAACGCAACTGCCACCGTCTCCGCCGCAATCGCGCATGGCGTCCGCGAGTTCGACACGGCGCCCTGGTACGGCGCCGGAGCGTCCGAGGAGCGGCTGGGCGGCGCGATCGCCGCGCTTTCCGAGGAGCAGCGCCAGCCTCTCCAAGTCGGCACAAAGGCTGGCAGGCTGCGCGCCACGAGGCATGACTTTAATACATCATTGGTCCAGGACTCGGCGGTTGCATATCACCCTGTAGGCTTTACACCGAGGCGGACGGCCGCGAGGCGCCCGGCTGGAACACACGTGGTTGTGAACACAGCGGTTGTAGCTTATTCGTGCGGCTCTCGATGTTTTAATGTGCACGTTCTTCCTTTGAACCTTCCCGGAAACCGCCTCCAGGCGACCGGTCCGTTTGGCGGCGACCTTCATGCGCTGCGGACTCGCGTCTGCACAAACGACTACTCGGCGGCCGGCGCGCGCCGCTCCCTCGCCGCCTCGCTCGCCCGCCTTGGTGCGCTGATCTCGGCTGATCTCGGCTGATCTCGGCTGATCTCGGCTGATCTCGGCTGATCTGGATGCGGATGCTCGGCCCAACGAACGTTGTGATTGATCACAATTCACCAGCCGTGCCGCGCGTGCACATCAACACTGTTCGTCAGCAACGATTGTTGGTTCACCAGGCGTGCCCCGCGTGCACACGCTGCGGATCCACGACCCAAACGACAACTCCAACAACCGGCGCGGCGACCCGCACTTTGCGGACGAGGTGGCGGAGGCGTTGGGCGAGGGCGGCATGGCGGAGGGGCTCCCCACGTGGTGGACCAAGAGTGCTGACTGCTGAGGGGTGGCGACCAGGCGAGGGCGGCATGGTTGACGGGCTTCGAGCGATGCGGGACGAGGGCGCAGACTCGCACACGCCGACACTCTCGAGTGGCGTGGGCTGTCCTCGGACTGAGCGTTGATGCCTCAGGCGCAATCTCGCAGGTCGGGCTCGGCATGAACTGCAACCGCATGCCGCACCAGGGCGTGCCCGAGGAGATCGAGCGCTTGGTGTGTGTGTGTGTGGGGGGGGGGGCGCAGCGCCCGGGAGCGCCGACTCGGGCCGAGTTGCAATCACGAATGGCGTGTGTTGTTCACTAGGTGGAGGGGCCATGCAAGGGATGTTGACTCGGGGCCAGCCAACAAGAATCAGCCAGCTGCTGGGTTTCGCTTAGGTGAAGGGGGCGCCGCAAGGCACATTCGACTCGGCGCTGCCTCGCGGCCGGCAGGAGGCACCTGCTCGGAACCTACCCCGAACTATCCCGGAACCTTCCCCAGGCGCTGCTTGCGGGCGGGTGGAACCTCCTCTCGCAGGTATCGCCGAGACACAGCCGAGGGACAATCGCACAGCCGAGAGGCAGCCGAGTTGTGCATCTACACATCCTCTCGCAGGACGGGCTGGCGACGCTGCAGCTCTGCGCGCGGTGCGGGGTCGCGGTGCATGTCGCCGGCGTCTTCGCGTCAGGCCTGCTGCTCGGCGGAGACATGAGGCACCGAGTGTGCGGAATGGCGCAAGTGACTGCACTGCTTGAGACTCCCCAGGCTTGCTCGTCGGCGGAGGCACCTGCTCAGAACCTTCCGCGAACCTTCTCGCAACCTTCCCCAGGCTTGCTCGTCGGCGGAGACACCTTCGCGTACAAAGCCGCGCCGCCGGAGGTCGTCGATAGGAACCTCGGCTGCATCTCGGCTGTATCTCGGCTGTATCTCGGCTGATCTCGGCTGATCTCAGCTGATCTCGGCTGATCTCGGCTGATCTCGTCTCGGGTGATCTCTCAGGTTGTCGATCGTGCGAGGCGGTGGGGCGAGCTAGCGGCGGCGCACGGGCATGACCTGCCCGCCGTCGCCGTCGCGTTTGCCGCGCTGCCTGCGGTGGTGACGAGGGTTGTGGTTGGGATGGCGAGCTACAGCCGAGATGTGTGCGAGATGCGGCCGGGAGATGCGGCCGGGAGATGTGGTCGGGAGATGTGTGCGAGACGAGCCCGGAGCGGGTGGTGGAGCAGTACAGTCCTCTCGGGTCCTCTCGGGTCCTCTCGGGTCCTCTCGGGCACTCTCAATAGTCTTGGGCACTCTAGATCCGGTGGCGGAGCAGACGCTGGCTTGGACTCGTTGCCAATGAGAGGGCCGTCTGGTTGATTAGGCGAGTCCGGGGCAGGTGGAGCAGACGCTGGCTTGGGTCGAGCAGAGCAGACGGGTGGGGGGGGAGGTGCGGGCGCCTCATCTCGGGTCATCTCGGGTCCTCTCGGGTCATCTCGGGGGCCATTTCGGGTCCTCTCTGGTCACCTCGGGTCCTTTCGGGGGTCACTTCTGGTCACTTCTGGTCACTTCTGGTCACCTCTGCTCACTCTCGGGCCCTCCCTCTCGGCTGCGAGCAGGTGTGGCGCGCCGCAAAGCAGGCGGGGCTACTCGACGCCGGCCACGACAGCGCACAACGAGCACCTTAGCTCAGGGAGCCCCGTCGCCTCCTCAGGCGGGGCTACTCGACGCGAGCCTCCCGACGCCGCCGCCGCCGCCAGAGCCGGCCGGCGCCTCCCCTCGGGCTGCCGCCCCCCCCCTCCCCGCACCCGCCTCTCTTCCAACCTCCCCGCCGGCCGCGCGGCTCGGGGTGGACGGCGTGGTGCAGCGGCTGGAGGAGCTTCGGGCTGTGAGCGGGGAAGGCTGTGGACCAGACAGTTGTGAATAGGTGGCGCGGCTGGAGGAGCTTCGGGGCTGGTGCTCGGCCGGGACGTGGCGAGCCACCAATCCCCCCCCCCCCCCCCTCCTCGTGCCGGTCGCTCAACAAACTCATGGTAGAGGGGCCTTCCTTGATTGATTAGGCGAGCCGCCCTCGCGCTGGTCGCTGGCGAAGCACCGGCTTGGGAGCTTCTCTCTCTTTAGCGGGTTGAGTCGAGTACTTGTAAACGAGTCGTTTGTTGTCCGTTAGGCGGAGGAGTTGCCTCTCGGGCAAGCCGCGGGGATGGAGGAGCGCCGCGAGCGAGCCGAAGGCCAGTTTGTTCACGAGTTGGTCCCATCGGTTCATGAGCGAGTTAGGAGCGATGCGAGCGAGCCGAGGCGGCGCTGCGGGAGGCACGAGTGGCGCAGCACGTTGCGGCGCACGACGCGGTGGGCGCGGCCTCTCACTGCCGCCGCAGTGTGAAGGAGCTGGTGAGCCTCCACCGGGCGCTCGACGCGTCGCTGGCGGCCATGGAGGGGAATGCCGCTGACGGGAGGTGATCCGGTGACCCCCACGGCCCGGCAGCCGGTGCAGAAGGCGGGCGCGAGGCAGCTGAGCGCGAGGAGCGCCGCGCGGCGAAGCGGCAGCAGTGGACGGAGCAGGGCGTGGCGGCGGTTCGAGGCAGCGCAGGAGAGGCGCGTGTGGCGACGAATGAGCCGCGAGCGTGCGCCGCGGTTCGAGCGCGGCAGCGGGAGAAGGTCTGCTCTCTGATGGGTGATGGATCGTAAAGGCATGCACCCCCCCCCCCAATCCCCCAAAAGGTAAAGGCCGTGTGAAGTTTGCCGTTTGACCACACTAAGCATTGCCCCGGTACGAGACAGCCAGACACAGTGAACCAAAACACGCATCGGTTTCGCTGATCTTAAGAGTACAGAGATAACCGCGCGCTCTCATGCGCCGCGCCCCACTCTCACTAGCACCCATATCAGAAGCATATCGCTTCAGGTTCAACAGCTCAATCCTCTCAAAAAGAGCGCTGATTGGCGTAAAAACCCTAAAGGCTAGTTCCAGTTCACTCTGACACGCTAATCTTGAAAACACGCGTCCAACGGCCCGGAGCTCCGTGTTGCTCCCAGCGCCCTCCCCCGCGCTTCCTGCGGCCATGGCCGATGATGCGCTCCGAGGGCGGCTCGAGGGCCTCGCGAAGAGCGCCACGTGCGCGCAGGCTCGCAGCGGCGCGGCAGTCATCCTCCGCGGCGAGGAGGTTCTGGCAGCTGCGACGGACGGTGGAAAGGTCCACATCTTGGCGCGCCAGGATGGAGAGGAAGCCCAACCGGCCTGGAGGCTGCAGCGCCTCGTAGGCCGACATGAGCGACTTTCCGAGCCGCGCGGGCAGCACGTCGTCGCCGGGAGGCGTCTGCGCAATCTCGCGCAGCAGTCCTCGCAGACGCTGCTCGTCGGCGCGGGGCAGCGGAGGGCACGCCCGCAGCAGGGCGCGGAGGCGGAACATGTATGATAAGTGCCGCCGACCGAGCAAATGAGAAAAAAACTTGACAACGAAGGCGCTCTGAAAAAAAAACTTATCGCGGAATTTCCTACAAGCAAACTCTCTCGCACGACACGACACACTAGGTGAGTGAGTGTGTCACGGACGCCGTCGGCAGGTGCATGCCTGCCGACTCTGCTCGCCCACCTGGTGGCGGCGGCGCCGCCGCCGCTGACGACGGTACTGCGACCGGCGGTAACAGCGGCGCCGCCAGCGTCGTCAACGGCGTCGGCGCAGCCGGCCGGCAGCGACTGCCGACGTTGGGCTCAACGAGGCTTTCCGGAAAACAAAAAGGAAAAGAGAGGGTCCCCAGCACTTGGGGGAGTTTTTTAGCAATACCAAACAACTCTAACACTCACACGTCATTTGGGGGATGCAGCGTTTTGTTTTGTCAGCACTTTTCGTTTCCGGAAATTTCCAGGGAAAACGGGAGGCGGCGGCGGCGCGGGAGAAGAGGGCGAAGGTGGCGAAGGTGACAACTCGCAGACGGCGAACGCGATGGAGGTGGTGCGGGCGCAGCAGGCCGCGAAGGACGAGCCTTCCGACATTTTTTTCTCAAATTCTTTCAGCTTTGCGACGGCGTGTTTGTGGCACTCCCTTTCAAAAGATGGGGAGCGAGAACCGTCAGAGGTGCTCACGGAGGTTTCGGAAGTCCGCCATGATGCGGTCAGTTCCCCCCAGGTTTGACTGCGTAGGTCGCGGAACTCGTTGAGTACTCGCAGCCCGTTTCTGCGCCTCCGTCTGGGCATATCGGCTGCTCGGCAAGAGCAGTCTTTCCGGAAGATATCGACGGTTTTCGAGAGCCACCCGCTTGGGAGCGATTGAGCGCGTCACGGAGGACTTCAGGTTACCCTTGAAGCTCCTCTGACGGTTCTCGCTCCCCATCGAGCTCTTCTTGCCGTACGGCTCGGTTCCTGTTGCTGGCACAGAGCTCCCGTGCCAGCCGTCCAACGTGATAGGAACGGGTGTATCGCTTCGACGGATCGACCGTGCTTATTATCAAGACTGATATGACGTACACAGTGACACATCAGACGACACATATTCTCCCACCCGCCGGGTCGCAAAACGCTCTCGACGAGAGCCACAAGAAGCCGTCCGCACAGGAAGCCGCTCGTCGGACAGGCGTGCTCGCTTGATGTCGGCGAGCGCATTGCGCACGCTTTGAACGGTGGCGAAGCCAAAAACACCGATGGTGGCCGTCCGCCGGCGTATGCGGCGGCGATCGGTCCCTAACCTGTCGCCCGCGGTCCCTAACCCAAAAGTGGTCCTTCGCGCTTTGGTCCCTAACCAAAAAAGCACGATTCTGAAGTTGGGCCCTCAGTCCCTCTCCGATTCTCGCTGCGACCTTCATGCCACCTCGCGGTCTTCCCACTCTCGTCGTTCTCTCTCTTGTCGCTTCTTCCTCTGTCGCGTCGCTCTCCTCTGCCTCGTTCTGCGACGGCGCCGCCGCCTGCCGCTCCGGCGCTAAAATTCTTTCCGCTTGGGACGCACCGACGACCGCAAGTACTTCGCAAGGATCAACGTCGTGGTCATGGAGTTCATAGACGCTGCGGCCGAGGAGAGCGGAGAGGAGGGGGAGGGGGAGGAGGACTGGGGTGACGACGCTGACATTGTTTCCGACGACGACGATCAATTTCTGGACGACTACTGCCACGGCAGCATGGTCAACTATGCCAGGCTGCACAACGCCTTTGCTGCAGACCAAGCGGGCACTGAACGTCTGGCCGAGCGGCTGATTCGGGAGGAGCCACCGCGGCATGAGGCACGCCCCCGCTGGCGCGACGCGCGCATGTCGCAGGCGCCGGTGCCTGTGGCCCGGCCTCACCGGCCCCGGCCTCACCAGCCCCGGCCTCACAAGCCGCTCTCAGAGAAGCTGTGCTCCCTGTTTGGTTCGCCGCTCGATGACCTTAAGACGGCGGCGCCCAAGGCGCGCGCCGACCCTCGAGAGCGGCCAGCAAGGCCGGCACCGCAGCCGCGTCCCCGAGCTGCAGCGGCAGTGGCAGAGGTGGCGATGGCGGCACGCGCCGCGGCCAGGCAACGCGGCTCTGGCCGGCAGCTTCTTGGCCCCGCGGCGGCGGCGCCTTTAGCCTCTCCGCCAGCGGCCCGCTCTGCGGTGGGACAGCCTGCTGGCTCATGCCGACACGGGTTCACGCCTTCGTCGCCTGCGCCCCTGGCAAAGCTAGCCCCAAAGCCGGCCGCCGCCGCGTCATTGGCCGCACCTTCGGCCTATCGGATAAAGAAGAAGGCGGGCGCATTGCCGAGGCCCTCTTCGAAGCCAGTCGAGGCACCCAAACGGAAGCCACCGGGCACGCCGAGGAGACAACCGGACCCGAAGCGGGTCGCTCGCAAGCTTCCGGTGCCATTCTTTGCATGAGTCGCAAGCGGGATTAGTCGAGTCTTGAGTGAAAACAAGCTGCCGAAATTTCTTTTGAGCTAGCCTTCGATGTTAGACAATCTCGTGCGATCTTGCTAAAAAAACTCTGACATTTTACGAAGTCCTTGGCGACGTGCGCGTCGCGTCGCCCCAAGGCTCTGCGACCTCGGTCGTACAATCAGCGACCTCGCGGTCATACAATCGGCCGGCTGCGCGGGTTTTCGGCGAGTTTCCCGCGCACCGGCCACGAGAAAAAAAACCTGAATCGTTCTGCCAGCTGCCTCTCTGCTGACTGCACACGCTCTCTGCCATCTCCGGCGCGTGGTGTCTGACTCTCATCTCTCAACATGACACATGAGCAGTGCGCAGCAGTGCGAGCAGCCTCCACAGCATGGCTGCCCACGCAGTGAAACAACCCCCCAACAAACAACAATGCAAGGACTCCGGCTATTTGCTCATAGAGCTCAACTCTCCGCTTCGGGCTTCGCGAGGCGTTCGACATCGCGCTCGCCAGCACACGTGCGAGGGCAGCCTGTGGCGCCGCTCGGCCCGCCCTGCGAGGCGTTGGGCTAGCCCTTTAGCGCGACGCCCACCGCGTAGAAGGCGGCCGTCGCAACCGCCATGATGACGCTGTTGACGAAGATGCCGCGGTTGTCCTTCGGGACGGCGACGTCGCGCAGCACGACGGTGATCTTGAAGACGCGGTACGAGAGCACGAAGTAGACGGCCGAGACGACGGCCATGTTGAGCCAAAAGGAGGGCAGCCAGACCATGAGGAACTTGGGCGAGCCGTTGATGCCGGTCGACTTCATCCAGATGTGGAACTGCAGGATGTACGTCTCGAGCGTCACCTTGCCGCACCAGGTGAAGAGGTGCATGTACCGGGCGCGCAGGCCCGCGGTCGCGTTGCGCAGCACGAGGAAGACGGCGATCGGGATCCACGACGTGTACGGGTGCACCTTGTTGTACTCGCGCTTCGGGCGGAGGAAGAGGAAGTAGGTGTGCACGTACCAGCCGCCGACGGCGAGGGCGCCGCCGATGACCGCCGCCTTGGCGAGGGCCCGCTTGCCCGAAGGCAAGTCCTCGATCGCCTGCAGCTGGCGGTCGTACCACGGGAAGGAGTAGGCGCAGAGCATGCCGAAGATCCAGACGAAGTGGTCGAGGCCGGAGCGGAAGAACCACTCGTGAAGCGAGTCGGTGAACTCGGGGTGCCTACGCGGCAGGGGTAGCGCTGGCTCCGAGGCAGCTCCTGGACGGCGTGCGCCGGTGAGCTCTGGGTGCAGAGGGTCGTGGAAGCCGGCGGTGGGCTTGAAGACGGCGTGGAAGACGCCGGGCACGTCGTAGAGCAGGACCCTGCGCGGGCGGCGCCGAGAGGGGCGGGGGATGGGCCGAGGGGGGCGGGGGATGGGCCGAGCCCGAGGGGCAGGGGAGGAGTGATTGTGAGGGAAGCGGGTGGGAAGCGGGTGGGAAGCGGGAGGCGGAGGGCGCACGTCGCCCGCCGCTTCGCCGCAGCCGCCTTAAGGCACGCATAGCGGCAGCACATGGTACGGTGCGCGTACTTGAGCAGGCGTTGCGCGCCGCAAGTAGCGCACTGGCCCTGGGAGACGGCGATATGGCGTCGTGCGCTGTGCGGCATACGCTGGTCGGGACCGCGTCCAGGTATTTTTCGGGTAAACCTGGACTTTTGCAGGTATTACCCGGGTTTTACCCGGAGTTGGCCTTATGTCGTCTAAGTTCATGGCCCCCGACCATACAGCGTCTAAGTCTGAGCCCGGCTCCGTGCGGGGGCTAAGTTGAGCGCTCGCTCGCTGCAGAGGCTAAGTGTAGAGCGACCCTCTAGCCCTACTACCCAACCATTGGTGGGGCGGGCGAGCGCGCGGGTCGGGGCTGGTACGCACGAAGAAGTTGAGCCTCCACATCATCTGCATAAAGCGCGGCAGCGTGAAGTCCTTCCGGATGTAGTAATAGGAGAAGTTGTCGAAGCCGGTCATCCAGACGTAGGCGGCGGTGTAGAGGCGGATCGCGTTGTAGATCTCCCCCTCCGCGAAGTAGTGGTAAAAACAAACGCACAGGCTATCGTTCTCTCTCCTGCCGCTTCATCCCGTCGGACTCGTTGCTCTCCTCGGCCTCGCTCTGCAACAACGCGACGCCGCCGCCTGCCGACCCCTTGCTCTCGCAGCTTCTCTCGCCCTCTCTCTCGGCGTAACTCCGCCTTTGCTTCCTGTTTCGCCTTTTCTGCGAAACGGCGGGCCGCCAGGCCTACCGGGACACAGGACCGATATGGAGAACGGGAACCTTCCCGAGGCGGGAAGGGAAGTGGTCTCGGAAGGTTTTGAGGCAGCAGCTCTCCAAGGCGACGAGGCGGCGCTGCTGGCGTGGCTCGACAGCGGCGGGCGTGTCAACGCGACCAGCAGGTCGAGCATCGCGAGCGGCATCACAGGGCTGATGCTATCCGCCGTCAACGGCCATGCACGGTTGGTCGACCTGCTGCTCAAGCGCGGCGCGGAGATCGACCAGCAGTGCAGCGTCGGCACCACCGCGCTGATGCACGCTGCCACCAAAGGCCACGAGCGGGTGGTCGAACTGCTGCTGCAGCGCGGCGCGGAGGTCAACCTGCAGAACAGCTACGGCGGCACCGCGCTGATGCTCGCCGCCCAGGAGGGCCACGAGCGGGCGGTCGAGCTGCTGCTTCAGCGCGGCGCGGATCCCAACCTGCAGAAGAGCGACGGCTGGACCGCGCTGATGCGCGCCGCCCAGGAGGGCCACGAGCGGGTGGTCGATTTGCTGCTTCAGCGCGGCGCAGAGCTCAACTTGCAGGACAGCATCGGCGTCACCGCGCTGATGGCTGCCGCCTATTACGGCCACCCCGTAACCGTGCTACTCTTGCTGCGAGCCGGCGCGGATACGAAGCTGCGCACTGCGAAGGGCGAGTCCGCACTGCAGTACGCCAGGGAGGAGGGCCACGCCGAGTGCGTCGAGGCCTTCCGGCAGCACATCTCAGAGGTGACTGCGAGCCGGCGCGAGGCGGCGGCGGGCGGCGCGGGCGGCGCTTCCTTGGGCGAGGCGGCGGCCTCTTCCAGCTCGCTGGGCAGACTTCCCAAAGAGGCGATGGAAGCAGCTCTCCACGGCGACGAGGCGGCACTGCTGGCGTGGATTGACAGCGGCGGGCGGGTCAATGCGACTTGCGTGGTAGATGTGAGCGGCGTCACCGTGCTGATGCTCGCCGCCGGCAGCGGCCACGAGCGGGCGATCGAGCTGCTGCTGCAGCGCGGCGCGGGTGCTAACTTGCAGGACAGCGACGGCGTCACCGCGCTGATGGGCGCCGCCTTCAAAGGCCACGAGCGGGTGGTCGACTTACTGCTTCAGCGCGGCGCGGATGCCAACTTGCAGGACAGAATCGGCGGCACCGCACTGATGCAAGCCGCCGACAACGGCCACGAGCGGGTGGTCGAGCTGCTGCTTCAGGGCGGCGCGGAGATCGACAAGCAGAAAAACGACGACGGCTGGACCGCGCTGATGGCCGCCGCCGTCAACGGCCACCCCGCCATCGTGCTCCGCCTGCTGCGGGCGGGCGCGGGTACGACGGCGTGCGATGCGGGTGGCTGGACGGCGCTGCAAATGGCCAAAAGCAAGGGCCACAGCGAGTGCGTGGGCGCCCTCGAGGAGCACGCGGCGGCGCAGGCAGCGGCGAGGGCGGTGGAGAGTGCGGCGGCAGAGGCGGAGGCGGCGCGGCATGCCGAGGCGCTGCTGGCGGAGGAGGAGGCGGAGAAGGAGGCGGGGCGCGCCAAGGAGCAAAGCAAGAAGGGCAAGAAGAAGAAGAAGAAGGGGAGGGGTGGCGGCGGAGGCGCTGGCCCGTCGCAGGAGCCCGAGGATGAGGCGGAAGAAGCGGGAGAGGGCGAGGCAGCGGCGGCGGTAGAGGAGGCGGAGCTGGCGGCGGCGCTCGAGGAGAGCGCGAGGCTGGAGGGAGCGAGGCCGGTGGTGGAGGAGCGGACGCTTGTCGCTGCGACTGAGGGCGGCTCGCCGTCGGCTGCAGAGGCGCCGGCTCCGAAGGAGGAGGAGGAGCCGCCGGCCGACTTCATCTGCCCGATCACGACCGAGATCATGGTCGAGCCAGTCGTGGCGGCCGATGGGCAGTCGTATGAGCGGACGGCGATCGAGCGTTGGCTCGCGACCAAGTCGACGAGCCCGCTGACCGGCGGCGAGCTCGAGCATAGCATCCTGATCCCGAACCACAACTTGCGCCGGACGATTCGAGAGTGGCAGGAGGCGCGGGCGTCACTTTGAGCGGACGCACGGCGTTTTAAACGGTCGGCCGCGCGTGTTTTCTCTGCGGTGTACGGCTCTAGCCCGTAGCGCCGTAACGGGCCTAAAAGCCGATTGGCAAATGTGAACGAAAAGACCCATACCTACGCTTCTGTGGATGTGGTCGACTCCTTCGCGCGACCGCACATCTCGACGTGCATCGCCCAGTAGAGCTGTTTAACGTTGGGAGCTGAACACAGTGTTGCTAGTGTTAACAGTATAACAACAGAATATGGGCCATGGAGTTACCGAGTACACCTGTAGGATTATCTTCCGGCGTGTTTCTGGCCTTGGATTCGTGATTAGCACCCTAAATAATGCCGGGGAACGCCCTTACCCGGAGAATTCGGGAGGTCGAGAAATCGACCCCTGTGGCAGCTGGTCGGGACGCGGCACAAACGGGGCACAAACGCCAGGCTACAAAGACGGGGAGGCACGTAGTGACGCAGGGGAGTCTAGGCGACGGCGGCGTCCTCCGACGCCGCGGCGAGCCTGAGCTCGGTCGCAATCTCTTCCGCCGCCGCGAGCTGCAGCGCGACTGACATGCGCTGGGCCTGCAGCGACAGCCACGACTGCGTCGACCAGCTCGCCTCGTCCTCGTGCTGCCGCTTCGAGAGCTTGTTGCGCACCTTGTCCTTCATCTGGTAGAACAGCCGTTTGACCGCGTTGCACCACCCGCCGAAGGTTTCGAACAGGTACATCTGCACGTCGGTGTCCGAGCGCGAGAGGGCGTGCGCGTAGTCCGCCTTCTTGTACGCCACATAGCCGCCGCCGTCGCTCGGCCTGAAGTCGCCGTCCCCGACAGCGCCGCGCTGCTCGAGGCCGAAGACGTCCGCGCTCGTGCCGGGCTCGGTGTTGCCGAGGCCGACGAAAGCGCCCCGCTGGCCGACGTCCTCCGGGTTGGAGGAGAGCGAGTCCTTGAACTTGACGTCGCCGACGAGGCGCGAGCGCGAGCGGCCGGCGCCCGCCACCGAGACGTCGGGCCGGTAGTCGTTAGAGTAGCCGAGGTGGTCCCGCGGCTCCACCTCGACGAGCATGCCCCACACGCTCCGCATGACCTTGGCCAGGGCGGCGAGGAGGCTGTTATGGCGGCCGCAGTGCCCGAGGCGGCCGATGTTGCTGGCCGCGTCGCCCAGTGGGTCCTGCACCTTGCCGCCGCGCGCCGAGCAGGTCGGCGCGCCCCGCGCGAGCGCCTCGTCAAGTGGTAGCCCGAGGCGCCGCTGGACGGCGATGCGCACAGCGCCCACGTCGGGATACGAAAGTCGCGGCGCGAGGGGACGGCGTTGAGGAAGGCGCCCGCCTGGTACTGGCTGACGGCGATGAAGCGCACCGCCTCCCGCCTAGCCACGCCCGGTAGCTGCAACGCATTCCAAAAGCCGAGCCATGCTGCATGATGAATGATCTGGGAGTAGCGACGCTGTGCGCTTTGTAGATGCTCACTGCCAGAATCGAAGCAGGCCAACGGGAGGAGTGTGTCGCGGTCGGGGAGGCCGTCGGGGTGAAATCGGAAGTGTGCGAGGCCCTCCTTGCAGTAGTCGAAGACCTGGCGCGGTCGTACTTCTCGTAGGTCCTCGCCACGTAGTCGTAGTCATCGAGGAGGGTGCTGTGTGCGTCCTGCAGCTCGGTGAAGATGGAGAGCTGCTGGAAGTCAGCCGCCGACTCGGCCGTGATGTCGACGGCTCGGAAAGGCGCGTGGAGCTGCCGGAGACCAGGGCTCAGAAAATCCTGCTCCCTGCTCGTGTGCAGCGGCATGGGGGTCCCTGTCCTCCTCCCATCCCCGCCGGTTTTATTTCTTTCTTTCTGCACTCTCTACATGACAAGCGATCCCACGACAGCGACTGTGGGGACTTACATGATCCGTACAACATGCACATGCACATGCACATGCACATGTACATGTCATGTGCATGTGCATGTGCATGTCCGCAGTACACTATTTGGCGGACCCTTCCCTCTTCCTCTCTCGAGCCCCAAAATTCTTGCTCGTTCATGGCAATGCCCTGCGCGGCCGGACGCAAAGCACCGGCGGCTGAGGCCGGAGCGAGAGTTGCACGCTGCCTCGGTCTGCAGATACTGCGTGGTGAGAGCGAGGCCGAGACCTCAGAGTCCCCCCCCCCCCCACCCTCTGTCTCGCTGGCGCACCAGTCGCCTCTCCGTCGCTCACTCGCTCTCCGGTGCGCCTGTCGCCCCCTACAGCACCGGCTCGCCCGAGAGCAGATCCAGCGCCTTGCGCGCGAGGGCGTGCACGAGCGCGAGCTGCGCCTCGTGCCTCGCAAACGCCGCCGCGGGCGCCAGCTGCAGCAGAGACGACAGGCAGACGGCCAGTGACGGCTCGCCCGGGGCGGACGGGTCGCCGCGCTTGGCGGCGGCGCGGAGCGCGCGCGGCGCCCGCGCGACGGCGGCCGCGGCGGCGTGCGTGAGCGGCGCGGCCGGCTGCAGTGCGGCCGGCTCCGGCGGCTGCGCCCAGGAGGAGAGGTGCTGGAGGAGGAGGTGGAGCGCTCTCTCGAGAGAGGCGAGGTGCGTGGCGGCGGCAGCGGTGGCGCGCGCGGTGCATGCGACCGCGAGGGCCTGTTCTCGGCAGTAAAGCGAGTGAGCCGTGGGCACCGCGTCGCCGCGCGGGCTGCACGGCGGGCACCTCGGTGCAACGCGCCAGCTGCGGCTGGTCGAAGTGGCGCGGCGGCGGGCGGAGCGAGTCAAGACCACCTGCTGTGAACGGCGCCTCTTCACATCCATTGCTGTGAACAGGCGGGCGGAGCGCGTCAGCGGCACCAGTGCGGGACGCCAGGGCGAGCGGCGTCGAGTCCGCCGCGAGCAGCTCGTCTGAGAGCGAGGCGAAGGTGCCCCGCAGCTGCTGCGCCGTCGCTGAGGGCAGCGACTTGGCGAGCGAGGCGAGCGAGGCGCACCGCTCGTCCGCAGCGACGAGGCGGCCGCGGCAAGCGCCGATCAGCCGCCGCACGGCTGCGATGGGGGGCGCCCCCTCCGCAAGAGCACCGCCTTCGCGCAGCGACGGGGAGAAGAGGAGCGCCTCACTCAGCGGCGGCCGCGCCGCGGAGTGCACAAACGCGACCAGCGGCGCGAGGAGCGCCTCGATCGCCGCCGCCTCCGCCGCCGCGCCGCCGTCGCCGCCCATCTCGACGTCGGCTTCGTCGAGGGAGAGGCCGAGGAGCCGGCCGTCCCCTCCCCCCGCCATAGCCCGAATCCTGCCGTCCCCTCCCCCCCCGCCCCACTCGGTGGCGCGGTGCGCCGTCGACCCCCCCTCGGCCGCGGCGGCGGCGTCGACCAGCGCGGCGGCGAGGGGAGAGAGGAGGCGCGTGCTGGCGGCCACGAAGTCGGCCCCGCCCGAGCTGAGCAACAGTGGCGCGTGCGACGCGGCGAGCGGCGCGAGCAGGGCGGCGACGCCGCGCGCACTCGCGAGGGCCGCCAGCCGCGCGCGCGAGCGCGGCGGGAAGCGCAGCGGCGCGCGCAGCAGCCGCACCATCGCGCGCCGGCGAGCCGCGTCGCAACCGACCACCTCGGCGGCGACGCCGGCCGCGTGGCGGCGGGCCGGGTCGCTCTTGGCGGCAAGCAGTGCCGCGCTGCTGGCGCGGAGCAGCGGAGAGAGCAGTCTCGCGTGCAGCGCCGCCGTGCGCTCCGCCTCGGCGTCCGCCGCGCCTCCGTCGCGAGCCACCTGCGGGCGGGAAGCCGAGGGAGGGAGGGGTGGA